AAAAAAAAAAAAAAAGAGTAACAACCAAGGTTCTGTTGCCTAGTGGCCTTTTGTTCCTGAGAACAACTGGTCATCCCAATCCCTGCCTGCACTTCTATTCTGTCTCTTACTCCTTCTTCCCGCAAGTACCATAACACTTGGCAGGAGACTGGGGACTCACTGCAGGGGTCCCTGATAACTGGCACCATGGGAAGGGTATCCCATAGGGGGCCATCTAGGAACTAGAGCCCTCTCATGCAGCACAAGCTATAAAGTCAGCAAACAGCATTGCTGGAACATTTTATCTACTTCAATTTGTTGACTTTTTTTGCAGTGCTGGAGCTTGAACCCAAAACTTTCAAGCTGAACTAATCCCCAGCCCTCTCTGCTTTGACACATGGTCTCACTAAGTTCCTAAACTGCCCAAACTAGGCTCAAACGTGCAATCATCCTACCTCAGTCTCTCCAAGTGTTGGGATTACACCCATCTGTTTACTCTTTGTCAATAAATTCATGTCATAGCAAAAGGTCCTTTCAAGGCAAGAGTTATGGATTCAAATATGCCTATCAAGGGCAATGCCAGCCAGAAAGGATACAAGAAAAGGGTTGGAGGATGGGGTCAAAGCAGACAAGGAAACCCTCAACTGAAGAACATTCTGCTGGGCTTGAACATTTAATGGCATTGTTTTGCTGCCCAGAAACATAGTGGGATCCAGTTACCCACCTCAACTGAAAATGATTCCCACAACACTGAAGTAGCATCCACACTAGACAAAGAGCAAACGAACTACATGCCACTAACATCTCCAGAGTTATACTCTGTGGCATGTGTTACCCTCCTCACCTGCACAACCCTATGGAAGATATTACTAATTATGGGCACTGTACTCCTTCCCATGTTTCACTGTAGTTTTTTATTTTAATCTCCAACTAAAATGAATCCAATTTTAAGATGCTTCTAGATACACGGCTCAGTCAGAGTGCTTGCGTAGCACGCATGAAGTCTGGGTTCCAACCCCAGCACTGCCACAAAACAAAACTAAATAACTTCTTAATACCATGCCCAAGCAGTAACTAACAATTCACTAGAGTTGTGACAGCAAAAATAAAAGCATTTCCAATAACCATCATGGAAAAGCCAGGAACGGAGGTACATGCCTGCACTAGGGAGAATTTGGGAGGCTGAGGCAGGAAGATCACCAACTAAATAATGGCCTAAAATAATAAGTTCAAGGCCAGCCTAAACCATGTATGAAAACTTTGTTTCAAACACTCACACACACACACACACAAAACCCATCATGGTTCCTTCTTTCTACTCTAACGAAATAAAAATACTTTTAAAGCTCTTAACAGTCTTAATTCTTTTCTAACAAATAATTGTTATATTCTTTAAGCCAAGAAAGAAAAAACAAAAAAGGCATAACAGCAGCAATAAAACAAGTGACACTATAAAATTCTCCTGGTTTCACAGTAGAAATTCTCATGATTCCTGATTCCATCCTTAGGTATTCCTACTGAAATTCAGTCTCTCCTGGATAGCTCTTAAATACTTCAAGACTCAACCTTAAAACTCTGTCCTCTGATAGAAAATGTTTTATTATGCAGCTAACAAAAATCAAACAAACAAACAAAAAAAATCCCAGATATAGTTAGTGGGTAACAGCTGTTCAGAAATTTCCTGATACTCAGCAGGTAGAGAGAGAGGTAAAAAGAGAAACAAACTCCATATTCAAGAGATTGATAATCTGGAGAGAAGGGACAAAGGGAAATGATGGTGAATACAAACAGTACTCAATTCTCAGGCAATGCTAAAATGTAGCACAGCAGCTCAAAGGAGAGGAACCAAAAGGAGAAGTGAGGAAGCCAAGAACCAGTTTCAAACAGCTCAGTGGTGACAGGAAAAAGAAAAGAAAACAAAACAAAACAACAACAAAAAAAAGACTTGAGCTTGACTCTAAAATAGAGAATATATTTTGAGACAGAGAATTCAGCAAGAGGCCATCTGAAACTAAGGGCACATAGAAGTTAGTCATTTGGGAAGCCAATACAGTATTTGGTGTGTTCATTTGATCGCTACTTTTTCGTTTTAAAAGCAATATAATTAGGTTGGGAATGGTGGCGCATGTCAGTAACCCCAGCACTCAGAGGCTGAGACAGAAGGATTGTTATGAGTTTAAGACCAGCCTGGACTATAAAGTTAGCTCAAGGCTAACCTGAACTTAGACCCTGTCTCAAAAAAGACAAAAAGGCAATACAGTTAAAGAAAAAGTGAGAAAAGTTATGTGTAAAAGCCTGAATTTATAGTTATTATTTAAAAGACTCTAAGGGTCCAGGGATATAGCTCAGGGGCACAGCACAAGCCTGGAAATCACAAGGTCCTGAGTTCAATTCCCAGTACCAAAACAAAGGAGGGGGACTATAAAAACATAATATCCAATTTGCTCAAAGAAATTTCTGAATTTGGATTCTCCAACCCAAACTGGGGGTGTGAGAACTGATTCTGCATAACAATCTGTAGCTACACAGAAAGATCTGCTATTTTTAAAGTGCTGAGGTTTTCTTTACTTCATGTTAACTCTTCATGGGATGTCTCCCCACAACAAGCCCAGGCAAGATAAATCTCAAACAAATGTAACTAAAAAGGAAGATACATATGTTGAGTATCCATATTTTGTTTCTATACCTTTTACATAATATTCTACTGGTGATTCTCCTGATTTCACTATTCTTTAAAAGAATCATGAAGCTGGGCATGGTGGCACACTACCGTAATCCCAACACTCAGGAGGCTGAGGCAGGACTGCTGTGAGTTCCAGGTCAGCCTGGGTTACATAGTGACTCCAAAGCCAGCCTGGACTACATAGTGATACCCTGCTTCACAAAACAAAACAAAAGAGAATCATTAGAAGACAATTTGACAACAGTCATTTACAAATACATTTTACCTCTAAAACCTGGAAGTCAGGTGTGGCACAAGCATGTAAACCCAGCTACTTGGAAGGTGAAAGCCCAAACGTGACAATTCAGCAAGACTACGTCTCAAAATAAAAGTAAGTGGTGCACACTTGCGATCCTAGCACTCTAGAAAGATGAGGCAAGAGGATCTCCAATTGGAGCCCAGCCTGGGTCACTCAGACACTCAGTGAGATCTAGTCTTACAGGGGATGCAGCTCAGTGGGAAGTCTTGAGCTCAATTACCACAAAGGGTGGGGGAATGAAGCTCAGCACTCCCTGGGCTCAGTCTCCAGTACCGCAAAGGAAAAAAAGAATTCAGAACAATTTTTAATTCTGGTTATTTATTTGAGGGACGTAAACGTGCCCTAATGTTTCACTGCCAGAATGACAAAGCTCAGGTTCTAAATCTTCCTGAAAAATACCAAAGCGTGAGGGGAGTTAAAGTAAAGGAAGTAATGACACATTAACCTCTCCCACCATGTACCCACGTGTTCTGGTTTGTGTCTGGATGTCCCCCCAAAGCCTCACACAGTCATGGGGCAGGCTTCTAGATTTATGATTGATTTATGGTCCAGTGTTGGAATTCTGGATGTGAGCGCTGCATTTGCTCTGGGGCGGGTAGTTTGCATACAATATAAGGGAGGGAAAGAGGCTTGCTCTTCCCTCTGCCCCACCTCCCTTTTGGCTCTCCTTGCTTTTGCTATCTTCAGCCACCATGAACTGTTGCCCTCTGCCATGTGCCACTCTGCCTTGGAGCCAGCCGAGTATGGCCTGAAACCTCCACAAACAGTGTGCTAAATAAACCTTCCCTTCCTTAATTCTGGGTGCCAGGTATTTTGTCTCAGCAAGGAGAGAAACCTAAGGAAGACACCAAGGCCACATAACCTTCTTTTACCTCCTTGAAGATACAAAGTTTCACCAACCAAAAGGCCAAAAGCCATCTCTCCACCCTGTATTTCTAACACAGTCTTTCCAAAAATAATGTCTCAAAGCAACCGAACATCCATTTACACAGAATGCCACTGAGTAACCAACCCAAAACGCGCATCACAGACTTCATCTTGAAATAAACACCTATTTCACACATGACCAACAACCACCTCACCTTGCTGAGTTGGGGGGCTCCCACCGCTCCAGAAAGTTAGCAATTTCATTCAGAACTCATCCTCCAGGCCATTACAATTATGATGGAAAGTGTTACCACAATTTCCCCATTAAACTGTTTGCCTTCGGTCTGCCTGATGATATGAAAGGAAATCTGTGAGATTCCAGCACTTAAAGTGCTCTGAGCTTCCTGGAATACTCTGAGCATTGCTGAGAAAACAGTATCATTAAGATGTAAAATATATACACATACTTTGATTGCAACTGTGTAAATAATGTGTAGGCATATCACAGGAGGTGGTAACAAAGAAATTAAAAGTAATTATCTGGTAGAAACTCAGGTTATCTCCCCCGCCCCCCCAAAATTAATGAAGTTTATTCTCTCAGAAGTTGCGATTGAGAGAGAAAATACATTTATCAGCATAAAAGTTCCCTCTAGTTAAGCAAGACAACTAGTGTCCACTACTGGGAAAAAAAGAATAGTTTTTAAACAAAATTTTTAAGTTTATTTTTCTCAACTAAATTAAGCTGGAAAATACATTTAAATGTAAAAAGGCCAATATAGTTAAGCAAGGAAAATCGGTTTCTTACAACTTTGGAAAGATCCAGCCCTTCAAAATTGGTCTGGGACGGACCCTTGCTTCACTAAACGTCACGCCCTCACACAGCAAATTAAGAAAATGAATTTGTTGATAACTCTTCAGTACATGGTCTTCCTTTTTAGAATTTAAGAATTCAACTTCATTGCTTTCCACTAGGGGAACGAGAACGTAAGCCTCCCACGTCCAAAGGCACTCCCGCGTTCAGCCAAGACCCTGAGCAACCCAACCCCTCCGCGCGCCGACCCAAGGGGGAGGGCCCGCAGAAACCACTCACCTATCCGGCCCAACAGGCACACTCCTCCCTTCCTGGGAGGAAGGACCTAAACTGGGTGTGCTGCCCTCTTGGACTTTTAAGTCTGCAACAGTGAGGCCTGGAGCTCTGCCTTCGCAAACAAGGCTAGACCGGTGAGGGCCGGTTCACCTTCCCCGACGGCCCTGCCGCCAGAACGGTGTTCGCGGGACCCACGGCGCGGGGCAGCGATGTCGAACGTGCATTCAGCGCGTACATTTGGAATATCTAGATCCCAAAGCTGGGCCGGCCTCACCTTTCCTCCCATCTAAGATCCCTTCGCCTAAGAAACAGCCCCCAGAGAAGAGAAAATCCTATCCTCTCTGTGCCTCCAACCTGGCTCAGGAGACCTTTCTAGGAATCAGCTCCTGAATTTTTATATTAAAAAGCCCAGGGTGTGGCACTGATCAGGATGGGGGAGGGCTCGTGCCGAACGAAGCTGCGTTCGCGAGGGAAGCAAACGCACTACGAATGTCATTACTGAGCTCGTGGTCCATCTGGAGGAGAGGGACCGAAAGCCCTCTCCAGCCCAGTCTCGGCCGCTGTCACGGACCCTTCCGGCCTCTAGCCCTCAGTTTCCCCACCTGCGTAAGAGTGATCCGAACAGCTCGCTTTTGAAGTTTACAGTCCGGCGAATGCAGAGGCGAACCGCCGCCAGCCCACCCGCCTCCCTCAAAGCCCAGGGAGAGCCCGGAGCGCGGCGCGAGCCCCAGCGCGGACCCTACCGGCGCCGGCGTCCCCGGGGTGGAAGGCGTCGCGGGCGCGGGCTACTCACGGGTCCCCGCGGTCCGGCCCCCGGCCGCGGCAGTGGATGGGGTTGAGCTCGTCCTGGGGGAAGGCGTGCGCCATGTAGTTGTCGTAGCCGAAGACGAACATGCCCCGCGCCAGGTCGCGCATCTGGGCCCGCAGCTGCGGCGGGAAGGCGCCGCTGTAGCGCCTCTCGTACTCGTCCGGGCCGCATCCCCGGCCGCCCAGCGCGCAGCCCCAGTGCGCCGGGCCGCACACGCCCG